TTTAGTATGAACACTGGCTACCATTAAGCCAGAGGAGAGCGACTAAAATGATCAAGGGTCTGGAGAACAAGCCCTATGAGGAGCGGCTTAAGGAGCTGGGCATGTTTAGCCTGAAGAAGAGAAGGCTGAAAGGAGATATGATAACCATGTATAAATATGTGAGAGGAAGCCACAGGGAGGAGGGAGCAAGCTTGATTTCTGCTTCCCTGGAGACTAGGACGCGGAACAATGGCTTCAAACTACAAGAGAGGAGATTCCATCTGAACATGAGGAAGAACTTCCTGACTGTGAGAGCCATTCAGCAGTGGAACTCTCTGCCCTGGAGTGTAGTGGAGGCTCCTTCTTTGGAAGCTTTTAAACAGAGGCTGGATGGCCATCTGTCAGGGGTGATTTGAATGCAATATCCCTACTTCTTGGCAGGGGGTTGGACTGGATGGCCTTGAGGTCTCTTCCAACTCATTGATTCTATGATTCTATGGTTCTATGCTACCACCACACTTAAAGAAATGTTAGGCTTCTGGTTTGGCAAGAGGTTTTAAGTAAGATGTGTTGTGCTGGATTCGCACTCAGGACTCCGAACTCTGAGGTAAATAACACTGAGATTGTTTTAGATAAACGCTGCCACCATTCTTAAAACTCTGTTTCACTAAACTGCTATGGAACTGTTTCACATAGAGGCACTCTTGAGACAGTGGTCCAATTCTGGGCAACGCAACTGAAGGGAGATGTTGACAAGTTGGAATGTCTCCAGAGGAGGGTGACTAAAATGATCAAGGATTTGGAGAACAAGCCCCATGAGGAGTGGCTTAAAGAGCTGGGCATGTTTAGCCTTCAAAAGAGAAGGCTGGGAGGAGACATGATGGCCATGTATGAATATGTGAGGGGAAGTCATAGGGAGGAGGGAGCAAGCTTGTTTTCTGCTGCCCTGGAGACTAGGATGCAAAACAATGGCTTTAAACTACAAGAAAGGAGATTCCAACTGAACATGAGGAAGTGGAACTCTCTGCCTTGGAGTGTGGTGGAGGCTCTTTCTTTGGGGGCTTTTAAACAGAGGCTGAATGGCCATCTGTTGAAGGTGCTTTGAATGTGATTTTCCTGCTTCTTGGCAGAGGGTTGGACTGGATGGCCCACAAGATCTCTTCCAACTCTACGATTCTACTTTTTTAAAAAACAAAACAAAACAGGTACTACTCACCTATACATAATCCCATCTTCTAAAAAACTTGAGCTTCAGTTTTAGGCCTCGGAGGCAAGTAATATTAAAACCCTTGCTAGGTACCATGATTAAAGCCACTGGTTTAATCCGTGATGAATCTTAGACCCTGATACAAGTGAAGCAGCACTTACAATGGATTTATTACCGAGGTGACTCTGCATTTTCCGGGAAATATGCAGAACCATATTTTGATTACCCCCAATTGCCTATTTATTTTGTGATCCAAATTCCATCTGCGTTTATAATACATTTCATTTCCAGTGTCTTGAGTGTCTGCTGAAAAGGTCTTAAATTCTGGGAATAACTACACCATGTTCCAGTTTTTAAATTTGTTTTTGGAGAGTGCCCTGTCTTTTACTCGCCTTGCCTTAATCCTACCACTTGAATTGTCCAAGACCAAATTCTAATTAGATAGCAATTACCCTTCAAGTGTCCTCTTCTCTGAACAAGGCCTTCAGACTATTTGTTATATAGCAACAGTACAGAAGACAGCTAGAATACACGGGAAGTAAAACTTACGTTAGTCCAAAAGAATATGCACAAGAGTCCATAATTAAACTTAGCTCATGGCTTGATGGTGGTCGTAATAGTAAAAAAAGAATTCTTAACCATTACGACAGAAGTATTTTAACAGTGCTGTCTAGGTAGCTTCTGAATACATGGTAATTTTTTTTGCAAAGCTATTTGTTCCACCTTAAATTTCGTTTTATTGGAGATTTTGGTTTTATGCTTTTAAAAATGTATTTTCACTGATTCCTTTATATACATAAATATCCATTTACCATTATTTTAAACCCTTGTGCCGGCAGGACTGAAGACCAACAGGTCAGAGGTTCGAATCTGAGGAGAGCACGAATGAGTTCCCTCTGTCAGCTCCAGCTCCCCATGTGGGGACATAAGAGAAGCCTCCCACAAGGATGTTAAAACATCAAAACATCCGCGCGTCCCCTGGGCAACATCCTTGCAGACGGCAAATTCTTTCACACCAGAAGCGACTTGCAGTTTCTCAAGTCGCTCCTGACACGAAAAACAAAATTAAATATGACAAAATCACAGTTTGCCTTTTAGATCTGTTTTTAATATTTTCATACTATGGATGGTTGAACACATGGATGTAAAATCCATGGATATAGTGGGTCAACTATATACAAACTAGAACTTGTTTGTCTTTAAGGTGCCAGAAGGTCCTCAAGTAAGTGAACATTGTTAGGAGAGCTCCAAACCCAAGTAAACTTTAAAAGACAACCCTGCAACTTACATATCAGGCTGGTCAGGTCTCCAAAAGTTTCAGTGGAACTCATTTTTAATCCCTACATACATTCCACATTTATTTTTCAAAGGCTGAAAACTAAGCATTTATGCTTCATGTACACTTTATACCAGGCATGAGCAAACTTTCTAACTTGGGGGCTGCATGCTAGCACTCCCGGCTAGGAGCACTGACTGTCAGGTGATGGAAGGAAGGAAGAGGAAGAGGAAGGAAAGAGAGAAGGAAGGAAGAATGAAAGGGAAAAATGGAAGGAAGGAAGGAAGGAACGAAGGAAGGAAGGAAGGAAGGAAGGAAGGAAGGAAGGAGAAAGAGGGAGGAAAGGGGGAAGGAAAGCAGGGTGGAAGGATGGAAGGGAATGGAGGGAGACAGAAGGAGGGGAGAGAGGACAGAGAGAGAGAGAGAGAGAGAGAGAAAAGGAAGGAAGAAGGGAAAGAAGGAAGAAGAAAGAGGGAGAGAGGGAGGAAAGAGAGAAGGAAGGAGCGATGGAAGAGTGGACGGGAAGGATGGATAGAAGGGAGGGAGGGAGGGAGGGAGGGAGGGAGGGAGGAAAGAGAGAAGGATGAAAGAGTGGAAGGGAAGGAAGGGGGAAAAGAGGGAGGTAAAGAAGTGAGGGAAGGAGGAAAGAAAGAGAGGAAGGAAGGAGGGAGGTATGAAAGGATGGAAGGGAAGGAGAAAGAAGGAGGAAAGGAGAAAGACAAGAGAGTAGGAAGGAAGGATAGGATGGTGTGTGAGAAGAGGGCCTGAGAAAAGAGCCCAAGGGTTCACATCTGGCCCCCAGGTCCGGGTTTGCCCATAGCTACTTTATACACATAACCTGACGGTAATGGGTGTCACTATCCCTGCAGATAGTTTTGAAATACATTAAGATTCAGATTTCTGAATACAGGATATTCAATCTGAATATATCTCAGTATTTCCTGAATACTGGTGATTGTTTGTAAAATGCAGATTGACTTCTCTTATCTTTTTTGTTCATTGGCCTGAGACAGTGGCTATATAATACACAGACTTTTCTATGTGAACCAATAATGTCAGTGCATCCTCTCCAGCAGTCTTCCTTGTATATCCTAGGGTTCTTGTTGTCCTGTAGCCCATTAACAAATTAGGTTGCTGTTAGAATGCAACAGGTAATTTCAATCAACCCAAATGAGACATTCAAGCGAGGATAATGTAAACATGATTAACAACAGGCTTCTCTTGATGTCACGCTATGGGAGGCTACATTTTGGGGCTTCTTCCAGCAGCCTAATTTTAAATGGAAAATCCAACTCAGGTTTCTTTTTATGTCAGTCAAGCAAGGCCTGGCAAGGCCTGAAATCTACTAGCATCTGACAGCAGTTTTGTGGTTTATGCAAAATTATTTTGTGGTCTCCATCAAGTTCCAAGTGGGCAAATGGTTTGGAGCCCAAAACCACTACTATAATTTACGTTAACTGCATGCCTCAGAAGATAGCCGAAAGGGTGATTTAAAAGGGGAACCAGTTTGCAGAACTGCCCTAAACAAGAGGTTGCCGCACGACCACAGCTAATAATCAATGAAGTAATCCGCAGGTCCCACGGCCTCTAAAACTAATTGAAGATCCCCCATCCATGTAGTGACTGTTGCCTTCAATGTTAGTGTTAGAACAAATCTAAGTCTAAACTATTCTTTGGGGTGAACCTTTCTAGGGGGGAGTCCAGCAACTTGGAAATCCTGAACAGACTGACCACCCCACTTATATTCAAGCCACCATTGCTTCTATTCCTTGAAAAGAAAAATCCGAAGACCCCAAAGATAATTACCTTCCCTATTTATATTTCCCCTTAAATTGGGCCTCAAGAGGGATATCTGATCTCCATAATTCCACAACAGTAGCTAAGTAGATAGAATCACAGAAAATTCTTAAGTGGGAAGAGACCACAAGGACCACCAAGTCCAATCACCAACCACACAGGAAGACACAACCAAAGCATTCCTGACAGATGGCCACCTAGCCTCTGTTTAAAATCTTTAGAGAAGGTGATTCCACTATACCCTGAGGCAGAGACTTCCACTGCAAAGTGGAATCTCCTTCCTGTTGTTTGAATCATAGTCTCTGGAGCAGCAGAGACTGCTGAAGAACAATTTTAACTTGTGTGTATTTCTATGGGAAGTGTCGGCCTGCTTTTGGCTGATGAGATAGGATTGTTGTTGTTGTGTGCTTTCAAGTCGTTTCAGACTTAGGTTGACCCTGAGGGAGGGCCGGGTAAATAAGCTTGGAGGGCCGTATCCGGACCCTGGGCCTTAATTTGAGGACCCCTGTATTTTGCTATCATTTGGTTTGGGTTGCTTTATACTAAAACTGCAACATCTCTTAACTAAAGTCAAGTATAAAAGATATACCTTGGAGTTAAATAGCAAAGTTATTTTCTTGCTCATTTTTTAATGACAATTCTGATGTTCTAAATTTTGGATGACATTTTTTGCAAGTGAACCTTAACATTTCTAGTTTGTGCTTGTAATAATTTTAGTATTCATTTTTTAAAGGGACTTACCTTTAAGAACTCCCACAGAGGAAACTGTACAAGAGAGAAAGGGATCTGGAGAGGGAAAGAGAGAAAGGGAAAAACACCTGTCACATAAGCAAAAATGGTCCATTGGCTTACTAAATTAGGAAAAGTTATTGTTCATTCAATGCATTGTAGCTTATTAAAATTATAAATCTTGGAGGATTATATTATGCACACAACTGCTAGAGAGCTGGTTTTGCTACAGAAACCTTTGACTTTGTTTATTTCATTCCCTGCTGTGAGGTTAATGTATTGTAACCAGGGTGAGCTTAAAAAGTACAAACTGGCACCAACAAGTATGGCAAATTTGACTTAAAAGTCTGGAAAAGTCATAGAGACGGTGATTTAGAAGCTACGCGCAATAACCCAGCTTGCCAAAGAACTGCTAGCTCAGGTTTAGTGCTCAGCTGTCACAAAGGATTAACTAAAGGCTTAGACACTTTCTAAGGAAAATCATATAATACCTGACTGTTCTCGGGTCAGTACTGACCAGTGAAAGAGAGCAAAATTATTAACCCCAGCTGTTTCTGCAAGACAATGTACCCTTGGAGACTACCCATTCCTCCTTTCATCAGAACCCACGCCTAAACACAGAAACATGCACCTATTCTTTTTAACCTCTGACTTTTTAAATATTCAGGCCATTCCACCAATCGCATCTTCTCTTACAAATCAGCTCGGAAACTGCAGTTTTCAGAGAGGACCTGTTCTTGGTCCCACTCCCATCTCAAGTACGGCTGGTGGGAATGAGAAAAAGAGCCTTCTCTGTGATAGCCCCCCCCCCCCCCGCCCCACACCTCCCTAAAGAAATAAAGATGACCTCCTCTCCTTCAAAAAACAACTTTTGCTCACTAGCATACAGACAGGAGGAGGCTTAGACAATGAGCTATCTCAATTCAAGCTCTGGATGAGAACTATAATTGTACACGGGCTCTGTTAATCCATGTTAGCCCAGTTATCACTACAGGTCACACAACCAACCCATATCACATAGTTGGCCTTCTGTAAATCAATGTGGTTTTTCTATGTTTAGGTTTTATGCCACTATATAATTTCTGATTGATTATGTTTTATTTAATTTATAGATGTTAGGTTCTAAGTTTGTTTTTCATAGGTGGGGTTATGCTGGATTATTATGTTGGTACTTGTTGTCTTATTGAGGCATTGAACGTTTGCCTTTTTCTGTGCTGGAATCTGCCCTGAATCCTCCTGGGGAGATAGGGTGGAATATAAATAAAGTTGTTGTTGTTGCTGTTGTTGCTAGTATTATTATTTAAAACACAACAAGATGAGTCCACAGCAGACAATATCACTCTGCTGGTTGCTGTATTGGATCCCACATCGGACACTTCCCAAGTGTCTAGGACTGTGTGATGTATCGGCAAATAATGTGTACAGATCCCAGTAAGGTGGCCTTCTGCAGTTGGCAGGAGGTAATTTAGTCAGCGCCGATTGTGTTTAAGTGCAGGCCAAGATTTTTAGGCACTGCACCCAGTGTGCCGATCACTACTGGGACCACCTTTACTGGTTTGTGCCAGAGTCTTTGCAGCTCAATCTTTAAATCCTCATATCGTGTCATCTTTTCCAGTTGTTTCTCTTCAATCCTGCAGGCACCTGGGATTGCAAATTGACAATCCATATTTTCTTTTTTAACACAATCGTGTGGTCAGTATTATTATTATTATTATTATTATTATTATTATTATTATTATTAGGTATATCATTGTGGCTGGGCTAGGATCCTGGCAAGAGATCCAACGACCACTCTTTTCCATCACACAATGAGCTTCCGTAGTCCATTTATCGAAGAGATCTGGCATTGGATTACCTGCCAGCTCTGCAACCTGCCATTCTTCTAGCTATTCTCAAAAACCAAAGCATCCTCATCAAGTGGTAAAAAGCAGTCAGGGTAAATGTGCATGGAGTCCTTTCACAGAACAAGATGGCACCACCAAATGATTGCAAAACCACATGGTGGTGAGACGTATTTATTTACTGATGTATTAACATATGGCATCGAATTGTTGCTTTTGTGGGTTGCTTTGGGGTTGAGAAGGGTGGGATATAAATGTGGTAAATAGATAGATAAATAGATAAATAAATAAATGATATTTTTGTATGAATTCATTACTCATCGGTGTGTCTACACTGGGTTTACTGCCTCTTGAGGTTTATTTATTTATTTATGATATTTCTACCCCGCCTTTCTCAAACCCGAAGGTGACTCAAGGAGGCTTTACAATATAAGCAGCTATTCAATGCCATTAAAACAATGTAAACATTACAATAAACATTTAAATCAGAATTATAAAATACATACATTAAAACCTTTAAAAACATAAAACCAATACCTTCACTATTAGCCTCGTCATTCAAAAACATGGTCTAAGCCATTCCAGTATTCGATTTCACATAGTTCCATGTTCATCTATTGTGCTAGTTTCCCAAAGGGTTGTTCAACAAGCCATTTACCCCATTCCCAAAGGGTTGTTCAACAACCCACAGAGCCTTTATCTCCAGGGTTTGGAGATAAAGGCTCTGTGGCAACAGCCCAAGGCTCACAAGTGCACAGCCAAGCAATGTTTTAGCCTTTGCACCTCAGTTCAGTAAGTGGCTTTTCAGTGACAACATGCAATGACAGAGCCTTCTTCTGGCGATGCTTTTGGTCCGGCGAACTGTGTCTTTGTTATTTTGCATCATGTCAATTACAAACAACCAAATTCTCATAAGGTCATTATAGGATATTCATCTCTTTTCCACACCTATTCCTTCCATTTCAATCTGGAAAGACTGTCCTGAGCTTCTTGTAGAAATGTGAGCAAAGAATTTGCACTAGTATGAAGCATGTAACAGAAACCATGCAACAGGTAGAGGGGATGGAGAGGTGGAAAGACACTTGTGCGCATGTCTTCCTTGTGCTTCTCAAATACGATCCAGGTAGTATGGGAAGGTAGGAAGCCCCCTGTTAAGGGCTAATCCCAGTGAGGGCAGAACCACTGAAAGGAATAGGATTTATAAATCACCACTAATGTAATATTTACTGGGGTCTATTCTAGTTGAGACTCCCACTAGATTTAACTCAAAGTCTAAGGTAAAGGTAAAGGTCTTCTCCTGACATTAAGTCTAGTCATGTCCGACTCTAAGTCGAAGAGGCAGCATTGTCCATAGACACCTCCGAGGCCATGACTGCATGGAGCGACGTTACCTTCCAGCTGGAGCGGTACCTATTGATCTGCTCACATTTGTATACTTTCGAATTGCTAGGTTGGCAGAAGTTGGGCCAAACAGCGGGAGCTCACCCTGCTCCCCGGATTTGAACCTGCGACCTTTTGGTTAGCAAGTTTAGCAGCTCAGCAGTTTAACCCACTGCGCCACCGGGGGCTCTACCCAAAGTCTATGGAGGGTCAAAATAGTAGGAATCTCCTGATTGAGAATGTTTGGTAGTGGCCAACTATTTCTCATGAGATACGTTTTAAAAAGGCGTACATTTAGCACATTTGTTAGTGAAAGAACATTCTTGGTTTATTTCATTACGCTTCTGCATAAGCATTGCAGCCATTTCCACTGGATGAAAATATTCACACTAGGAATTTCTGCTTATGTTCCCTCTGAAACCAATAGGAATTAAGTGTGTGCAATGTATACTGGACTATAGCCATTGTTATTTTAGCATGTTCGTTGTTTTATCTTGTTATTTTATCCTGTCCATAAAGAACAGTGTTCTATAAAAGCGCTATAAACTTTAGACGTAAAACAATATTATACCATGACTGTCAACATGGCAGGCTTCAGCTCGATCAGGTTTACATCACAGATCAGAGCTGCCCTATGAAATCTATACAGACATCTAATAAAGAAAAGTGAATCAGAGAGACAGCCATTCATTGTGACATTTAATTTAACGTGATGCTGAAATGCACTCAAGAGCCCTGGCATGAATTGTTTATGCTTTTTTTAAAAAATTGTCATTGTGAAAATGACTAATTTAATGCATACATTTATGAAAAAAACAACAGTACAGGAACAGATGTAACTGTTTAACATTAATCTAATATATTCCCTAAGAAAAACAAAAACACTTGCATTTGGCTATTGGTCCATATCACCATCTGTCTATGTCTCAATTTCAACTTCCAAAAATGGCAAAACAGCAGAACAAAAAGCATGTTTGTTGTAATGTAAAGTCTTCTTCATCTTCATGGCTATGTCTTTATCTCCTAACTGATGTAGGTGGGTTGAAGGGCATAGCTGCATTAGTCTGGATCAGTGTACAAAAGGGATCCCTTTGTATCAGCTTTGAGAGTAATTGAGAGAAAGAAGGTATGTAACAAAAGCTTTCGTTGACTTCAGCTACATGAAGGACTGGAATATTATATATACTCATGTACAAGTCAACCTCATGCATAAGTCAAGGGCAGGTTTGGGGGCCAAAATTATTTATTTTGATATGAGCCATGAATAACTCAAGGTTCATTCTGTTGGAGCATGCAAGGACTGTTAATATGTGTGTCAACTGTAAAATAAGATGCATGAAACTGAGTGGTTGGGCAATGCCTGGGGAGCAGGCTGAGCCTGGGACTTTTGGATACTACTACATTTTTGTTCACACTTGAGCTATGTACGTGCAGAGAGAGAAAGAGAGAAGCAGGGAGAAACACATTTTGGCGTGTGTTCTTGCTTCATGAGCTTCTGAAGGAGTTTATCCACCATGGACAAAGAAATACTATTTTAAAGGACATTATGTGAGTTGATGCAACTGATCACACTGTGCATATGTTGTTCTGAATTATGAAGAGTGGGAGCTCACCTGTTCTTAACTATTCACCTGCGTGGCATATTTTCTTATTCTAACAAGGCAGTGTGTGGGCTGATCTAACGTGAACTACATGTGGTTTATTTGACATTATGCCACACATTCCGCAAAGAGGGGAAAGCACCAATGCCACCACAGGAATCTTGCTACTCCTGGCTTGCACTGCCATTTCCTTACCTAGGCATTAAAAAAGGATAGAAGCAGCATCATGGCAGAG